GAAGGGACGCAGCAAGACCTGGCCAATTTTGCCATAAAGGTCTGAGACAATGGAGTCGTTCCATCTTTTGGCCTCGGGGTCCTTATCCAAGAGGGCCACCCCCGCCGATAGCCGACCAGCGCCTTTGGGGAAACCCTTCAAGTACGCCCCAAAGGCGAACGAGATTTGGGCCCTTGCTTGATCATCCTTGATGATGGAGAATTCATCATAGGATTTAAACTTGTCCCGGACGGCGGACAGATCCACGTTCACTTCATAGGGACCGTCCGGGATGCTGGATGGCATTTCTTCGAATTTGACCTGTGCGGCCTCAGCAGCAAGGACCTTCGCCTGGGAAGCTGCGAGTTGGACCCGAAGGGTACCGAGCTCAGCATCCAGCCTCTGCTTTTCCTCCGCAAAGGCTTTCCGTTCGGCCTCCAGAGAGGCGATGGCGGCAGCAGCATGTTGCTCAGCAGAAGATTGGGCAACAATCAGTTCCCGCTCCTTGGCCAGACGGGCCTCCCGCATCTGAAGGGTGTACAAACCCATCTACAGAGTACCGTTCGAGAATTAGTACTTATTACAGAGAATAAAATAAAGACAAAGCGTAAAAGACAATGTACCTTCAGAGCAGTCAGAGCCAAACATTCTTCAGATTGCTCGACCGGCAACTGAGGAAGGGAAAAGTTGTTGAACCAAGAGGAGGTCGACCAGATCTGGCTCGCGGTAGAGCCGGCCCTCTCTAATACCTCATGGACAGGGTCAGATAGGGAGATCCGCTCGACCTGACCCGTAATGTGGTCGGTATGGGTCTCACCAGCATTCGAGGGTTCCCCCCGAACGGAGTCGAAATGCTGAGAAAATTGGTGCAATTGGTCAGAGCTGAACCGGTCGTCGACCAGCATGGCCTCGAATTGGTCCTGGTGGACCTGCTGTATTGGCTGAGGCTCCGGAAGCGGTGCAGAAGGGGCAGCATCCTGAGCGGGAATAATGGTGGGAGTAGGTTGGGGGTTCTTCCGGGATTTTTTCCGCTTACCGGCCCCACCGGCTGCGATAACTCTGCTGTCATCCATAGGTAGATCTGGGTTTGGTGCTGAAAAAAGACAAAGGAGAATGTTAGTATCGAGCGGCCTTAGCGTGTGAGAAACTAGAAAAAGGAATAAAAGAACGTTTCTCGCACGGGAAGGACCGCCCAGACCGTGGCACTTGGTTTCTCAAAACAAGTAAACCCAAGAGAACGGGCAGTACCTATCCCGGCCGTAATGAGTCGTTCGGGAGTCAGATAACTCATGATGTCCATGCATTTATCCTTCTCCACAGCAAGCACGTCCTTGTAAATTTCTTCAGTGAGGACAGGATCAGGAGTCTTGCGGGGGAAGGCATTCCATTTACGGGGAATTAGGCCGTCCGGGACAGACACGAAGAAAAAACGGTCTTTCTACCCCTTGATTGAAGTTGGGTTTCCTTTGAACAGGATGTGTCCCGTTCGGGCACTAGTGGCCAGATAACCGTGGGTTTGTTGGGGGGCTACTTTGAAGAATTGATGGAAGAGTTCTAGGGTTGGTCGGGCACCGGCATCTTTGCAACGACAAATGAAACCCGCCATTGCCCGATAGGAGTTCGACATAATCTGGGCCGGTACGACTTCGTAGAAATTGAAGAAAGAAATGAAAAAGGGGTGTAGCGGAAATCTAAGGCCGGCCCTAATTGAGTCAAAGTGAACTATGGTCATTCCGGGCCTATGACGCATTGGGTGAAGCCCAACTTGCAAACGGAAATCCACCGGGTCAGGGATAAGGGCCGGAATTTCGGCCCTATTGTGAGAGGTCAATTTTTGCCGCCTCTCCCTAATCAATTTTAGGTCAAGGGTATGGCGAGGAACATCGTTGGGACGTCCGGCCGCCATGGAGGCTATTTCGTCCTCGGATTTGGTGTCGTTGGAATCCTCACTGGAGGAAGAAGAAGTGCTAGGGAGGTCCTCCGCCTCAGCCCTGGTATTCGTCGCCGTCCCAGTAGAAACACCGGCAAACGGAACTGTGATGACATCTACAATGGCGGCGTCACGGTCATCTCCATGAGAGGCCATCTCCGAATCAGAGGAATGCTCTTTGGGGTTCATCTCGATCGAAGCCAGAAATGAAGATAGGAAATCCGGAGTTGGGAAATTACCTGAGCAAAGGAAGCAGGGGGAAATTTGCAGAGGAAACAACGAAGGCCAAGGAATTGCAGAGTCGAAACCCGGAATTGAGAAGTTAAAGGCTAATTTATAGCCTTGAAACCGCCGTGTCGAGAACCAATCAGAGAGCGACACGTCACTAGGAGCATTTAAGCTAAGCACGTGTCTAATGAAAAGACTAAACGACGGTTGTCATGATGAATATGGGGAAATGAAGCGGCAGCCGTCGAATCGCAGCATGGGGAACTGATTACTTCTGTACCCCGATTGCCATTCGGGGTATTATAACATTGATATACTTCCTAATGCACTCACTTCGTTCGAGACATCGGAAGTGGGGGACTTGTGTTGGGATATTGGCCTAGAGGCCCAATACCCAGATCGGGAAGGCCCAAGATATCCGGCCCAAGCAACGGGCCCATCACTCTATGATGAATAGATCCAGTAAGAAGACATACCGAACGGAGTTCGGCCCAAATAAAGATTGGCCCGGTAAGAAGACATACCGAACGAGATTCGGACTATATATCATACTTGGGCCAATTTGACAGCATCTTCAGTGCAGCCCAACATCCCGTTCGAGCAACGGCCAACCAACAAGTGGCCAGGTGCAATTAATGCCAGACTATGACATCAGCAAGTGGAAGCATGGATGACCAAGTCGGTGGAACAACGGCCAATCAGCAAGAGGCAGCCCATGCTCTCCATTAGTATAAATAGAAGGTTTCAAGTCATTGTAAGGGTTAGCATTTCAATACTCAAGCTCTAGAATAACATCATTTGCTCTTATTTCTTGTATTAAAGCATAGTTTCCGGTTTACCGATCGGGAAATTCCTTGTAATCAGATTGGTTAATTAATACAAATGAGCTTTCGAGTTTTAGTTAGTTCAGATCTTATATTTCTTTACACACTTTGATTCTGGGTCATTCCTGATATATCCAAAGTTCGTGTTGGGCTTTCGGATCTACGGGATTTACCCTCAACAGTATAATTTTAGATTTACATAAAAGGGGATCAATAACAACTTTTGAATTAATGAATAATTAGAAATGAATTATGAACCGATTAATTAATGGATTATAAATGAGTTATGAACCCCGATTAATTAATGGACGTGAACCACGGGACCCCTTGACTATTTTTCTGGGTAGACCACATGCCAGCAAAGAGTTCTTGGCATTGTACGTGTAATTATCTTCCATTTCTTTAATAAAAGTCCTTTTATCTTTAACAAAACTCCTTTATCTAAAAAAATTGACAAATTTATATTATTATTACAGACCCATTTTTAATAAAGGAGTTCACCGACGTGTATGCTATTTATACTTTGTACACTCTAAATTGTACACAACATTCTACACGTCGGTGAAATCTTCTATGGAAAAACATTTTTTTCCGTTTTGTGAAGACAATCTTTTTTGGATAAAAAAATATAGGAAAATTCCACGGTGCACTCCTAAATATTGAGTGTACCGGTACACACTTTTTCTTATCCAATCACATTTTAGTATTGTGCTACTAAATATGATTAACGACTTGTAGTGAAGATTGAGTTATTAGCCTAAATATGATTGAATTGTTTCTTAAATTTCTAAATAGGACTGTGTATATTTTTATTTTTTAAATAGGAATTTTATACCATATTTGTCCTTCCTAATATAAATAAGGTTTAAATATTTTTTTAGTCTCTGCAAATATAGTATCCCTGCAAAATTAGTTTTTTGTTTTTCATTTCTAAAATGTATGTTAATTTTTCTTTTAGTCTACCACTGATTTAATAGAATTTAATACGTATTTTAAAAATGTGAGTAATTAGTTTTTATTTTTTTAACTCTCATATTTTCCTCAAAAAAATTATAGGGATGATGTTTTTTAATGATATACTCCCTCCGTCCCGCTAACAATGAGACAAGAGAGAGTGACACGCAAATTAATAAAAAACGGGTTATGTGGTTGATATTAAATTGATAAAGTAAGAATAAAGTAAAAATGATTTAGAGCCACACAAACTTTACCAAATTTGGTATGAGACAATCTTAGTGGGATGGACCGATAAGGTAAAACGGGACAATCATAGCGGGACGGAGGTAGTACTAAAAACCAAATAATGCATAATAAAAGGATGAAAAACATAAAAAAATGTTTTGCAGGGACTTAAATCATATTTAAACCTATAAATAATTGCCCCCTAGTTCCCTATGCCGGTGATCCGGATCCGCGGTGTCAGTGTAGGCCAAAGTTTTAGTGGTAGAGGTCGGATCTTTAGCCATGACGACCGACGTGGCCAGATCTGGTCAGATGTACGGTGGTGGTTCATGGCAAGATGTGCAATGTCGATGGTCAGATCGATGATGCCCAGATCTGACCAGATGTACATAGGCGGCGGTCAGATGTGTAGCGCCGGTTGTCGGCGGTCAACAGCGATGTTCGGCTGCATTAAATTTTGTCAAGCTTCAAGGGGAACTTTCGTACTCCTGTCCAACTACAAATAATAATTCCTATTTAGAATACTTTTAAACTTTGCACATACTATGACAATTAAATATTTATTTATTCCTATTTAAATAAATCTCGTTTGACGATTTTGTTCAGTTTAACCTTTTTTTTCTAATCCGGTGAAGGATCCAAATGCAAAAATGGCAAATTATTATGTTTAGTTAATGAGGATATTAGGTGGCCTAAGATTAAGATATAATGGAATGAGTGGTTAAAAAGGATGATGAGCGGTTAAAAAGGATGTGTACCAAAACACACCAAATTAAGGAGTGCACAGTAGAAACACCCAAAAATATATCCCACGCACAAAGATACGGGTCCGGATGAAAAATGATTTTCTTGCCGTAGTAGGAGTAAGAGTGAGCCCAAAAAGCCCAAATTATCATTCGAACGCTGGATGGTTCAGCCCCTTACCAACGCATGTGCTTCGGTTCTTCCGCATTCATAGAGACGAGAGACGAGCGAACGAGCGGCACGGCTGCGACCAACCCAACGGCAACTGCTGCTTCCGCCAACCACGCCCTGTACGGCTGCCACTGTCTCCGTCCGCCGCACTACTCAGGCAGGTAAAACGTCACAGAGTTCCTCAAAACTTTTCTCCTCCTCCTTCTTGTAAACTTCTGAACTTGTCGACCTGCCGGAGATGTAGATTGTCCGTCTTTACGTAAATATTCTCAGAAATGTTTGCAGAATGGATGATGTGCTAATTTATCTAAATTGCTAAAGTGCTAATTATCCATTGGCAGAATTATGTCGATTTGGCTGAAGTGCTATGCTTAATTTATCTAAAATCATTTCTTGTTTTTGAAAACAAAGAAAATGTAAACTGAAAATTTGACAAATTTAAGTAGAAAGGGATCGACTATATTTTTAGATAGAAAATATTTGAAGTTGAAGTTGTAGTTGTTCTCTACTGAATTAATTAATGACAATTTTGCTTCATTGGTGCTTGAATACTGCATCCTCATAAATATTACGGAGTATAATGAATCAAATGATTTTGGTTTGTGTGTACAAAAAGAACTTCACAAAACACAAGTCCCAACTTACTCGTAACTGGCAATATGAACTTTGATTATTATTTGGAATAGTTGGATTATATATATCTTTGATTTTCTGCCTTTTGGAATAAAGCCTCCCAGATTCGTGATGTGTAATGACTTGTTGAACATCTCTTTCTTCTTGGGGTAGTGAGGTAGTACGACTTATATTTGAGTTTTTTCTTCTAAAGCAAAGTTTCTCAAGTGCAGTTGATGCAGGACTCCATTTTTTTGGTTACTAATTCTGTGATTTGTTTCCCTACAATTTACTTGGAATTTGTATTTGACGACGCCACATCCAGGTATGAATCGATCATCTATGCGTAGAACAATTTGATTCATTCATTTTCATTCATCTTTACCCCAGTGCTGCAAAGGCTCCCACCTACGTAGAGTGGGGGGTCGGATGTATGCAGTCTTACCCCCTGTATTAAAGCAAAGTGAGACTGTTTCCGATGACCCATAGTGGAAATCGCATCCAAAATTGCTTGGATTGACTGGTGCTTCATAACAATGAAGCGCAGACAATTTAGTAAGACATTTTGCTTTATTCCATCATATTCTCAAGCCAAAAAATAGTGAATATTTGGCTCTATTGCAAGTGATGGAAAACAATTTGATATTTTCTTAAAATGCTACACCAGTCTAAAAAAATGTTCCCGTTTAATATGTTTGAGTGATAGTTTGATGATAATACTGACTCTTTTATGCTAATATTAAAGCTAATATTAATAATTAAAATGGCATATGTTTTTACCTATACTAGAAGTTCTACTATAATTCACAAACGTAATTTAAATAATAAAAATATCTCCCCCCCCTCAATGCAAATGCTAGACATGACCCTGATCCTACTAATAAGTGAGTGTATCATTGCTAAAATGCTAAGTTAGCTTTTTCCCGTTTTAGGTGTGTTTTAAACGCGTACCGTTTTTCTGAACAAAAAAACACGTTTAAAACGAAAAATAATGTCGGTCCGTTTATAAAGGAAAAAAAAACTCTTACTTCCCGTATAAAACGTATTTTTCCCGTATTTTACTAAAAATAGAAACATGAATTGATCAGTTGAATGAACACATTAAATTCATATGAGATCAACAATAGTGTAAAACTAAAAAAGAAAAGCTCCTTTCCGTGATCCCATGCTTTTGTATTGTTACAATACAATTATTAAATACTAAAATTAATTGCATGGTGGCTTAAGCTTGCATCCCTTAATATTCAAAAAATAAAAACATGAATTGATGAATTGAATGAACACATTAAATGAATATATAAGGGATCAACAATAATTTAAAAGAAAAAAAAGAAAAGCTCCTCCATGTGACCTCATGTTTTTGTATTGCTAAAATACAATTATTAAATACTAACATTAGTTGCATGTCGGTTAAAGCTAACATTCTTAAAGACTAAAACTTAAAATACTACAAAGTACTAGATTTCTGATGTTTTTCCAAACAAGCATGTCAAAATTAAAGTTTTTCTAAGCCTGACATTTTTTTAGTATAAACTTTTATACATAAACAATAAGAAGTGCGTGTAGCAGTCACATATGTCATCCGCCATCTTGATGTAAATGATGAATTTAAATTGAGTGTTATTTGATGATCATATAAAGATAATCATTTTAACTTAGTCTCAATCTTTTTTTATGTCTTATTTGTTGACATTAGTTTACAAAATCATGTCTTGGACTTAATTACTATTTTTATTTTTGTCGTCGACTTATGCAATTACGAATTATTCTTTTATGTAGGAATGAGATTTGCTACTTGAATATGTGTATACTTTTATTTCTTTTTACTATGTACTCCCTTTGTCCCGAAAAGGTTGGCCAAAGTTGACTTTCACATGAATTAATAAAGTAAAAATTGTGTGGTTGAAATTTGTGAAGAGGAGAGAGAATTAATTTTAGCCACATATTCCTTACTTTAAATGGAAATGACAAATCTTTTTGGGACATCCAAAAAAGGAATTTTGGCCAACCTTTTCGGGACGGAGGGAGTATGTTATTTTGTGAAGTATATAATTTAAATGTTCAAAATAGTATCCGTATTTTTTGTCCGAATTTTTGTAACAGATACCGTATTATACACGCATACGTATTTACACGTTTTTAAAAGTTAACGTTTTTTTGAACGAATTTCTGACCATTTTTTCATTAATGTTACCGAATAAAACGCATACGTATTAAACATCGTTTAATTCCCGTAACGTTTTTAACTAACTAGGCTAAAATGCATATTATTAATGCACAATATATCGTTATGTTTATATTATTTAATGGTAATATACTAAGAGTCCGTTTGGTAACCCCTATTTTCAGCTTCTCAACTTATCAACCAACTTTTTACCAAACATGTAACTTTTGATTTCGTATGCTGAATTGTGTTATAATCAGAGTACGTTAGTTTGGAGTTAGTTTTCTGGTTGTATTAGCTGAAAATACTATGAAGGACCATTTTAGCTTCTTTTCATATGATTTTTCTAAACTTTATTAATAAAATATATTTTAAACATAATCTTTTTACAATTCAGCACATCAAGTCAATTCATCTAGTTCATGTAGAATTTATTAATTTCAGCAGATTCAACCAATTTTAGTGTTATCAATGGGTTTCTACTTTCTAGTATTAATTGGTCCATATCAGCAAATTACAACATCGAAAAAAATACTCCAAAATATGACAGATATTAAGCTATGAGACAAGTACATAAGAAAAGGTAATGCACACCAAAGAGTGGTTTATTCTCATTTTTTATTTTACTTTGTTTTTGATTAAGATATACTCTTAGACTAATTTGACAAAAGAAGTGGTCCAACGTTTTTTTCTTTATTATTAAAATGACATTACGCCACAATGTTAGGCAACTTCAGGATTTTCCTAACTGAATATTAAGACTAAATCCATACTTTGTAATCCGTGTCACCAAAATTTGAGGCTACAAATTGCTATCTGAAGTTTCCTCTTTTGGTTCTTGACATTGTCAGTTGCAAAAAGATAAAGTTACTGGGCAAGAATGGAATAAAAAAAGAATTGGGGACTGTATGGGCAATATAACCCATTCTTCAATCTTTTTCTCTACAGTGTACATTGTTTTGTCTATTTTCCCTCTAATTATCCTCTCTCAACGAATGTTTCTTTCCCTCTACAGCCGTTCTTGTTGGGTTGCAGTGGCATCATTCCTTTGTGTTGAGCAACCGGGGTGGAGAAGGGGAGGGGGTAGAGGGAGGGGCGATAGCCCCCCAAAGGTCTTTATCAGCACGAGAAAAGTCAATTCTTGTCCATCATCCTGGTTCTACTAGAATTTCGTCTTTTTCTTCATTGTGAGGGGAAAATATATGATCTTTGAAGTTTCACTGTGAGTGCTAAGAGAGATGAGGACAGAGAGTGTCATTTTAGATGGGAAGAAAGGAGGGGGAGGAGGCAATGTGGAGGTGATGGATACTCCAGAGAGGAACAAGAATGCCCAGATAGCAACACCCTTATCCAAATTCCAGGTCTAATTACTGATTTGGTCATAAATTTTGCATTTCTAGCCGATTTTTATGTTATTTTCCTGGTTCAAAAGATTGTGTCTTGAATACTTGTCATGGTCAAATTAATTTCCAGAATCAAGTCTTTTTTTCAGTATGATTTTTTTTCTCTAGATGGTGCCTTTCGTGTATGTGTTTAAACAAAGTATATCCTTTTTTGCATGTGTATATCTGTCTGCATTTATTCTGTGAATGGTTAGAATGAGAATGGTGTTTTGTTTAATGTAATAGTTCTGTTTTATCCTCTCTTAGTTGACCAGTTCTATCTTCTTTGTTGTATGGTGGTTGAAGCAGAGGATTTTTGTAAGTTATTGAGTTTTTTTATAGACTAAGGCCTGGATGTTGTTGTTCACTGATTTTATTTAATGCGTAAGTCTGAATATTCTCTTTGAAGTGTTAAAATGAGACTGTTTTTTTCCTGTCATGATGATTTGTCTGATCTTAATTGTGAAGTGTTGGTAGGAAATGATGATTTTGGTTAATGAGATCATTTTGGCTTTGAGAGATTTGATTTGAGAAAGAATGGCATAAATATTACTCATATACTTTTAAAAGAAAAATATGACTGATTTTTTATTTTCCACAATTATGACTAAACTTACTGCCACACACTCCTGGACCATCTCCCGTCTCCAATCCTCGACATCTCAAATCTCAAACTTGTGACATGAATCGTCTCCAACCTCCCACTGCCCTAGCTCTCCTCCTGCGGCGGCAACATTTTTCCTTCATTGGCAGCAACAAGTTATCTCTTCTGCAACATCTGGATCTGCTATGGCAGCCAAACTTTCTTCAATGGCGGCTGCGAGAAATCTCTTTGACGGCGGAGACAACCGATCTCTTCGACAGTGGAGATTCCGATGACGATTGCTCCATCATCGAAGAAAAATCCAGATCGGTGACTCCCTGTGCTTTGATATATCCATTCAGGCTCGCGGCGGCTAGGGTTACGGGGCAGATGGACGGTGTCAAGGTTAGGGGCAGATGGGTGGCGGCTAGGGTTACCACTTACTAGAGTAGGATGGAGCTAATGCTACGGTTGTAAGGCTGGGACGGGCTCCGTTGTGGCAGGAGGAGGAGGGGACAGGGGAGGGTGAGTGCAGGGGAAGGGGACACATGCAGGGGAGGAGGCTGTGGGGTGAGCAAGGGGCGGAGGGTCTAGGCGGCGCTTGTGGCACTGGGCAATGCAGTGGTGGAAAGTGGTGCCAGGGGCGACATCGTAGTGGGTCACTTCGGCAACCATGGGTCATTGGGGCACCATAAAAGGTCGTTGGAAAGTTTGTTGACGGCCAGAGTGACATGTTTTATGGTGGCAGTGACATCCGTAAGTGACGTGAAAATCCAACACTGACTACTCTGAGTCACCATTCATCATCATCATCATCATCATTTCAATGCCGCAAAGACTCCCACCTGCGATGGGGTAAGGGGGTCAGATGTACGCAGCCTTACCCCTGTACTAAAGCATAAGAAACTGTTTCAAAATGGCCCATGACGCTGCATGAATTTCGAGATGAGGCATTTTGCTTTATTCCATCATATCCCCAAGCCAAAAAGTGAATCTTTGGCTCCATTTCAAATGATGGAAAAATCGCAATGACATGAAAATTTTGCACTGCCATCATGTTTTTTCAAATATATGACCTTGTTAATCACATTTTTCTCAATACGTAAAAGTGGTGACGTTTTTGGAAAGTGGCTTCAATTTAGTACTCCCTCCGCCCCATTTAAAGGTTCTCATACACTATTCTCCTGTCAACGTGCAATGTTCTTAATCTTTTACTTTATGTATCAAACTTTTATCAAATTTAAATTTTCTTGATCAGACTTTGTAGCGGTTTTAATGTAGTTTCTGAATATGTAAATTTTATTTACTAAAAATAATTCCATTAATGACATGGATCAGTTAACTTTATGGTCAGTCAAACGTCGTAAACCGTGTGGGAATGTTTAAATGGGACGGAGGGAGTAATATTCAGGGAAAACCCCCTTGATTTGAGATATGATGCAATAGTTTTGGTTTTCTCACAATTTTTGGAATTAATTAATTCGTTCGTTCCTTCCTTCGTTCACTCATTCATTCATTAGGGGCTAATATCAGCCCCCCTCCCTCTTGTTTGGAAACATGCAATCTCGTTTCTAGAATATGTTAAGGGTTTGAATAATTCTCTGACATGCCATCTGTGGAAAATTAGTTGTGGCTGCCTGAGTTACTTCTGCAAAAGAATTTTTTAGAATTATTATATGGTTGATTTACTAAGCCATCCCATATTGATAACATATTCCTATTAGTTCCAAATGTTCTCCAGCCTTCCTTTTATTCGTGATCTCAAAAAATCTTTTCTTTCCCTCTTTACAAGAAAAAGCTGCGTAGTTCAATATTTTGTATGATTTTTTCCTTTCTAAATAGGAAGAATAGTGTCAAAGTATAGAGCAACAATACAAACATAGATTTTAAAATTAGTCTTAAGTCTTAACATGATATCTGTTTATATTAAGCTCAAACAAGTAATTCAAATGTATTGATAGTTTTCACATGGTTATCTTATTATTTTCTTGCCTTGCTTGCAGGACTCTCCTGTGTTCGATTTTCTTAACAGCCTTTCCCCAATACAACAGCCGGTCAACTCTGCTCAGATAACTCAGACATTAAATTCCCTTAGTTTTGCATCTCTTCCAATGGTTTTTACTTCACCTCATGTGAGCAGCTCAAGGGAATCAAGATTCCTAAAAAGGTATTCTATATGCTTACCCAACTCCCAAGTGTTTTAGAAGAAATGTAGGCCGAATCACCATATTAAGAAGGATTTGTTTGTTTGATTTTATTGCTCTATTTTTCAAGGACCATGATTCATGAGATGTTAAGTGAAACAAGTTTGACCTAACTTTAAAGTATAAACTTAGTTCAATATCTTAAAAAGAACCGCTTGCTGCTCATTTATGCACGTATTTTGATGAGAATGCTACTCTATATATATACACCAACGATTAATGCCCTTAGCTTCTTCTCTTAACCTTTTAAGATATAACCGGCCATCTTCAATTTATACACTTTCTACCATTCTAAGTTGTTATTTGTCCATCTGCAGGCAGCAACTATCTGACCCATCAAAGGCAGAGTTTTCTTCTGATAGTAATAGAGTTGAGAAACCTGAGGACATTGAATTAAGTGTTGCTAATAATGTCAGTAAGCAACATGAAAATGTTGATCCTGAAAGTTGCATTCTCGACCAACTATCATGTGAATCTACAAAGGTTGTGGTTGATACGGTAAGATCATTAGATTACAAATCTAGCAGTCCTAATTCCGACCCATTGGGTCAAAAGAAGGATTCTATAGGAGGCAAGGTGAATGGAGTGGACGCAGATAGTTATCACAAAGCTGATAAGGACAAAGAGGCTACAACAAGGCGTGAATGGGAGAATTTGATGATAACGGGTGGTGCCGATCTGTTACTCTTTGATTCACCCAATGATGCAGATGCCTTCAAGAAAATAATGGGTCCCACAAGTCCGAGGCCCGTTTCCTTGGCCATGAGTGATGGAGCACAACAAAACATGGAAACATTTTGTGGATTAGTTGAAGGTGGGGGAAATGAGACCCAGAATCAATGTACACATCCCATCGAGGGATGTGAGGTGCAGCAAGGTGATGAAACTATAGCCAGAGTTCCAGATTCTTCTATGAATATCAACATGATAGGAGGACCAAATGAAACAGATGTTGAGGTTAGAAATTATTTCCGCTTATATGCAAAAATTGAATGATGAATGGTTAACATGGTTGTTGTTGTTGTGAAGGTAAACATGGTTATGTCACAATGTCATTCAAATAAGTCATTCAGCATATCATAGCTCAAGTGTGAGCCAATTACTTATATGGTTGGTGATATGTGGGTAATTCTAAATGTGCGGCACTTTGACAATATCCACGTACTACATCGAAGATGTAACTCATCTAAAGTGGTGGCGGACTTGTGGACGTCTTTGATGATGTTTTATGATTGACTTGGATCTTAACATGTACCAAAGTACATTAAAGCTCGAAGGAATAATTTGATCCCATTTCAAGAATTGTCTGCCTAGCTTGCATGGATTGATAATTTGGAGTCAAGAGCTGAACATCATTTGATCCCATTTCAAAAATCAACTGTAACAAAAACAACCAAAACCCAGCCGACCAAATTAACACAACTTTAGGTCATTCACTTTACGGTTTAAATTTGTACTTAAAAAACGGACCGAACTGATGAAAACTGACTGCAACATGCCAAAACGATCCCAAACTGACTCGAACCAATAAAAAATTAGTGAACCAAAACTAATTTAAGTCATTTATCTAGTTTTAGGTTTTGCATTTTTCGAAATAGAACCAACCCGTCTGCACTGATGGACACCTCAAATTTGGACTCCTCCCCAAGTTGGCCTAATTGTTTATATTCACAGTAAATCTATTTCTAGATGCTCCCCATTTGCCAATTTGGTCACAATCGTTTAGAACCAAAGTTACTATGAATGTAATAATGTGTCAAAATCAGTTAAACCCCAAATATTTGTCTGTAATAGCTGATCTCATTTCACTTTGATCCAACGCAGATGGTCTCTGGGCTATACCGTGGGATGAGAAGGCGTTGTTTGGTCTTTGAGGCAGGCGGGGCTAGGAGACAGACTTTAAATGACAGTTTAGGTTCTGGTTCTTCCACATTATTGGCTGAAAATGATGAAGGAAACATTAATACCTCAAGTGAAAGGCGGTATTTAGTTGCTGGAAGTGATTCTTCTTCACGTTGCATCGTACCTGGAATCGGGTTGCATTTGAATGCCCTTGCTGGTGCAACCCCTAGGGATGGTTGCAAGAAGGGATCTTTTTCTTTGGGAAAGCAGATAAGAATTGGACCCAGTTCGGCCCCCAATTATCACCATCCAGTAGATACTACTGCTAGTCAAGAATCCTTGGCCGTAAGGTCTTCTTCAGAAACAGTCCCATACGAAAATGGAGTACCTTCTAATGAAGGAGATGCATGTATGGAAAATAGATCTTTTGGTAATGACGATCTCAATCCAACTAGTCCAAAGAAAAAGAAGTATGTCTTTCTCTCCTCTTCTTTCCCCACAAAACATTTAAAATATACTCCCTCTGTCCCGAAATTATCTTCATTCTTTCCTTTTCGCTCCGTCCCAAATTTATGTACTCTTTCCTTTTTTGGTAAAGAATATGTGGTTCACAACCATTTTTACACATTTCCCTCTCCTCTGCACAACTCTCCACCACACAAGTCTCACTATCTTAATCCTCGTGCCCAGTCAAAACCAAAGTTAATTATGGGACAGAGGGAGTATTATATTTCAGGGCTCGATTTGGTAACCCTTTCTTGCTTGTTCTCGTTAACAGAATAATTAGAATAAGCAAAATTCATGTGTTTTATAAGGATTGTTTACTGAACTGGATGAATATTGCGAAAGAAAAAGCATGTGATGATATCATTGGACCATTGCAACTAAATAAGGAAGTCAAAAGAGGCTACATTGTGTGTATATTGATTAGTACTTCTTATTATGCTAATAAACAGAATAAGCCAGTCATAAGGTCACAAAACAGAGGTCTCAGTATCTTTGGACTTACTAATTTATCTGAAATTGATGTTACCAAACGCTTTTTGGCCTTTACCCTTCAGAAAACTCATCATATCACATTTCTTTCAATAACACTTACCAAATGATTCCTTAAAGTTAGGGAGAAATGACATTTCCTATTTCACCTCTTATGGATCTTGCGCTTACAGAATCAACTTTACCCTGATAACTGGTTTTTCAGGCGTAAAGCGGAACATAAAGAAAGTGAAAGTTGCAAGCGCTGCAACTGTAAGAAATCAAAGTGCTTGAAACTGTAAGTTATTAATTGATCTTGAAGTTTCATTCAAATTGTGCTTAGGGATTGGTTGGTTTTCTTCTAATCTATTTACATCTAGAGCTCGTTTGGTAATAGCCAAATTGATTGTATTGGCCGATTCTGCTGAAATTTATGAAGTTCTGGCTGATGTGGCTGTATTGGCTGATTCTGCAGATTTGTGAAAAATAATAATTTAAAGTACATTTTATTAATAAAATAAAGAAAAAATTATATGAAAAATAGGTAAAATGTACCTCTACAGTAACTTCATCAAATACATCCAAAAAGTAACTTCAACCTTACTTTTTCTTATTATTACACAATTCAGTCCGTAAAACCAAAAGTTATGTGTTTGCTAAACAATTAGACAACTTGTATAAAAGTTATATACACAGTGGCAAACTTTGTATCATGTTTTTGAAAATAATGACAGCAAGAAATTCCTATTTTTCCTCAGTTTTTCATGATTCTGCTTTCTTTCTGCCAAATTAAAATCACTGCTGCCACACTTTTTCTAGTTTCTGTTTAAAAGAATGCAAACATATAAATAATGAACAATAATATGAACTAAATGTTGCAGTTATTGTGATTGTTTTGCGGCCGGTGTCTACTGTGTGGAACCTTGTTCGTGTCAAGGGTGCTTTAACAAACCTATTCATGAAAACACCGTCCTTGCAACCCGCAAACAGATTGAGTCAAGAAATCCACTTGCTTTTGCTCCCAAAGTGATTCGTACCAATGATTCTATGCCTGATAGTGGGGTTAGTAGCAGATATACATTCAACCATTAAATGCTTGCCTTATCTGATGATGATTTTATATTCGTGTTTAATTAAAGAGCTTTAAAGAGAAAATAGAGGAAAATGGGGTATTATGTTTGATTGAGTGACTTTGGAGGGAAAGTGGAAGAACTATCAACTCCCCAAATATCTAAGAAGAATATATTTTATCCTAATTTCGTGTTGACATTTTATTATCAATTTTTTCTACATTATTATTGTCAAAGTATTGAATGGTATATTACTCCACAACAAAAGCTATATCAAATCTATATCTCGATATCTTACCTGAAATAAAATTCTTTTGATCCCCCCCCCCCCCCCCCTTTCTCACTTATTGAGCGAAACATAACATCTTTTCAAATTCTTCCCCTTTTCTCCTCCCATTAGTGTGACTTGATGATTCATCCCCAAAGTTGAATGTGAGAGTAGTCTAATTTGTTATTGTGTTGCTTTATCGTTTTATTATATTTTATTAATCAATATGGAATGACTTTTTTAGTTTTTTTCTGTATTTGGTCTTTTCCTTTTTGGTCAAAACGGAACCTTAAAAACCGAACCCACCCCTAGACATAAGTAATGATTTCTCATTTCCTATCATTGCAGGATGACTCCAATAAGACTCCTGCTTCAGCCCGACATAAAAGAGGATGCAACTGCAAGAAGTCTGGCTGCTTGAAGAAATACTGTGAATGCTTTCAGGTTCTTCTACCTCTCCCCCCTCAGTAGATTCTATATGGATATGTATTTCTTTTGATAGGGATAAATGGATAATACATTTTTTTTTTCTTTTTTGTTTAGGGTGGCGTTGGATGCTCTGTTAATTGCAGATGTGAAGGCTGCAAGAATCCATTTAGTAGAAAGGATGGTGAGTCGCTGTTTGTTTTTAAAGTGCCCTTATAACAAGAACACTAGAACTCACGTGAGATGATCTCATAGAACTAACTATCCATTAAACTTGTCACTCTATCTAAAAACTAGTCTCTATCCTCTGAGAAACTCAATATTCTGATTTTGGTTGTCAATAACAATATAGAATTCATAATTGGACCAGGCTTAGGTTGGACATGAACGGTCCGGTTCCATCTGTGGTTCCAGAATTGCCAGTTTTCAACTCTGGGAATAGGGGAACCTAACCAGAACCAGTTCTGGTTCGGATCTTAGGCAGTTCCAGTTTGAAACTGGATTTATTATTCTTTCTTGTGCTAGAAATTTTAAAAAACTGTAACAGAAGCCGCCAATTTTGGCATTTTGGCGCCCGGCCGGACCCATATCTCTACGGCTCATTTTCCTTTCCATAGATCTGGTTCCTGGTTCCGAACCAAATTGTTGTCTATCCCGGATATGGATTTCTTCACCACAACGATTGAATCCTGATGGTCTAGCATAAGTCTTATGAACTCATATGTTTCTAATATTTCAATGTGAGATACTGAGATTCTAAACCATACAACAACAACATTACCCCGGTTCCGTAAAGGCTCCCACCTTCGGTGGGGTAAGGGGAAGTCAGATGTACGCAGCCTTACCCGTGTACTAATGCACAAAGAGATTGTTTTTGGATGATCCATGATGACATTTGTGTCGAAAATTGCATGCACTGACCGCTGCTTCATAACAAAGTAGCGCAGCCAGTTTAGTGCACCATTTTGCTTTATTCCATCTCTGAATAAAAGTTGTTTATCTTTAATATTTCTATAATTACTGCTTAAAAAACAGGCTCAGAACCTGAGCTGGAAGAAAAAGATACAGCTATCATTCCTGATGGGAGTTGGCAGAAGCTTGTTATCCATAATGAAATTGAACACATTCCTGATTCAGTTCTACCTTCAACTCCAATACGATTCAAGAGGTAGGTACACCACAACGATTATATCCAAGCCTTAGTCCCCAAAGACCAAAAATATTTCACACGTGCAAGAATTTAAGAGCCACTTGCTTAAGGCGTAAAATAAATGAACTGGTGGCTGGATTGCCTAAAGTTTATTTTTTAAAAATGAATAATCAAAATCCAGTAAATTAAAGATACTATATATACTAAATATATTTTGAAATAATAATAAAATAGTTCTTAAATGTTTTTATTATTATTTGAAATTCTATTTGTATATGTAGTATACAAGTATGGGGATCTTTTTTGTATACCAGCTTTGCGTTTCTAATTCATGTAATTTGAATTTTTGGGTCAAGTCAAGCCCCCTCAATTTTTTTTTTGTTTTTTTCTAATTCATGTACTTTTAAAGGTATGCCTCTACAGAGAGGTTTTGGTTTGGTCCCCTTCTCTTTTGTATTTATTCTCATTTATTAATAAAACTCTGGCAAACGTTCCCCGTCGTTTGCCCCACTGATTTTGGTGGTTTACCTTCCGGGTTAAAAAAATGTAGTATACAAGTAATGGTTAAAATGTGATTAGTAAGTAGTGACCAAAAATCCAAAATGGCATTTTCTAAGTTTAGTGAAATTTATAATTTATATTGAATTGACTATGGTGACGGTAGTGACTAAAAAAAGGATGACACCCCATTCTTATGCCCCTAAGACCAGTTATATGAGAGGATATAAATTGAGCTTTGATCACATACTACCGGAGAGAGTAGAGTTCCAGCCCAAATTTTGCTTGGAATTGAACCTGCGGACTGTAGTGGCTATGTAGTGACTGTAGCGACAACGTCATCACATTTTTTTTGATGAGTTCTATATTAGTATTATTATAGGACCCCCATATAATGCTTTTCCGTTTTAGTAAAAAAGCAACTCCCAGTCTCACGCACTATAGGATTGGCTGATTTATAAAAAAATAAAAGCTACCAAGAAGCCCCCATGTATTGCATACATAACTTATTAGACATGCATTTGTTGTACAGAGTGCCAATGCAGTCCCAGTATACCTCCAAGAACAGGCCACCTCGGTCATCATTTCTTTCAGTTGGATCTTCATCTGGAATGGGAAAGCCAGGCTATTTTGTTCATTCTGTACCAAAGTTTGAGAAGAATCAGTTTGACACAATCGAGGATGAAATCCCAGAAATGCTTCAGTCAAATACGTCCCCAACCAGTGGGGTGAAGTCGGGATCTCCAAATAGTAAGAGGGTGACCCCCCCTGACAGTGTGTTTGGGACTTCTTCTCCGGGACGAAGGAGTAGCCGCAAGCTGATCCTTCAATCCATCCCCACTTTTCCTTCTCTCGCTCCAAATCAGTGAGTGCCTGACTTCCCTTGCCTGTGGCGAAAATTTTCATGTAGCTATAAGTGAGATTCTTTTTTTCTTTCTCCTAGATTCCCGGCATGGGGTTATATTTGTAAAATACGGATTAGCATTTATTGCTCCCAGAATAACCTTGTAGTCTCGTCCTTTCAATAATATGAACTTGAAGGGTGATAGTTTATTACTTGTTTATATTCAACTAACTACTGCTGTTGGTATGGAGTCCGAAATGTAGTACTCTTTCGTCTCGTTGGAAGATTCCCGTGTGTAAATGACACAGATTTTTTAGGCAAGTGGTTAAATGAAGTAATTGGGTGAAAAAGAAAGCTAAGAGAAAATTTAGAAAAAATAAACATATAAAGTGAAAGTAGTTAAAGGGAGACCCAAATAAGGAAGTAGAAACCCTTCAGTGGGACAGAGGGAGTACGTGACTACGTATTACAAGATAGAAAAATAAATACCAATAAGGCAATAACTATGCCACAAAAACAACACACCTATCTAACTTGGACTAGAGGTGGACTCGGCCCGGGTGGCCCGACCCGGAACCGGCCCGGGACCGGTATTGTTTCGGCCCGGCCTAGTGGCCTGGCCAGGGACCGGTCCGGGTAGGCCCGGCCCGGTGGTTTTACGGTGCGGGCTCAGGTCCGCCAAATGATGAACTGGCATGGCCGGGCCTTGCTCCGAGCCTTTTTTTTGTTTTTCCATTTTTTTTTTATTTTTCAGGGTTGGGCTGGGTGTTTTGGGCCATTTGGGGTGGTGAGGGGTGAGGGTGGGGGTATTAAGGGATTAATTAGAAATAAATAAATAGGAAGTGACCCAAGGCTCGGGCCGGTCTCGGGCCTAACTATTTTGAACCAGCGGCCTGCTCGGGCCTAGGCCCGACCCGGACCCGGCCCGGCCCGAGTCCACCCATAACTTGGACTTGGCAATGAATTCATTACGTAGTGGACTTGGGGGTGGATTTGTTTTGCCGGTCCTGATTGAATCGGAATTGGGCCCAACATTGTTTGGGGCCGACCTGGGTCAAATTTTTGGTTTTGGTCTAGGACAGTGCACCCCCGTCAAGCTTCATTACCTAGTCTCAGGTGCCTTTTTTTGACCGGGACCCACCGGTCCTAGGCCTGATCTGGTCCCCAACAATCAATTTTTTCTTCCATTTTTTGTTCGAAATCGGGACTGAGACCGGACAGGCTTGTCTACTTGACTTGAATGGGAACCTCTTTATATCAGGGCTTATCTTGGGTGTCATTTTTCTGGCAAAGACCGGCCCTTCTCGGGTCTAATTTTTTTGGTAAAGATCGGTCGGTCTCGGCCAGAATCAGGATTGGACCGGATTGGGTCCATGCATAAGCGGATTACAACAACATCCAAACCTTAATTCTAAAAGAATTCAGGGTCTGCTAACATGAATCGATCTATGATATTGATGCAAAACAGAGAAGACGAACAAGAAGCGAAAAAAAGTAAGATAAAACAGATAAATAAAGATAAGTAAATATAATATAACAATAACATAAAAATATATGAAAGATAAAAGACAGAAAGATAAAGATAAAGGGGAAATTACCTAGGATATGACTAAAACTCAACGAGTTTCCCAATTTATGACGAAACTAATTTTTGGACTTTTTTATGACCGAAAATCCAAAAAAAGAAAAGAAATCACGTTTATATTTAATGGTTGAATGACAAAAATACCCTTATTTAAATAGAAATTGCCCTAAATAGGAGTAAAAACGTTTTGAAATTCCTAAATAGGATTTTCATGTTTTTATTCCCTAAATAGGAGTAATTCTGCCAAGTTTGGAAAAAATACCATGTTTAAAGCCTAGTAATGCCAAACTTGGCAAAAATTTACTCCTATTCTGAGAATAAAAAATATGATAGTCATATTTTGGAATTTCAAAACATTTTTACTCCTATTTAGGGAATTGTCTCTTATTTAAAATATGTGGATTTTACACTAATTTCTTTCAATTAAAATTACTTCACTTTATATTGCTGTTACTGCACGACATTACTGCACGTCATTACTGCACGGTCGATAATTATCACTGCACTTCTGTCAAAATTAATTCTCTTCCCATTCACTTTAGGAATTTTTTTTTTAGATTTAATAATTTTATTACTTTACGTCTAATTGAGTATATTGCGTTTCATGGCGGCATTGCTGCCCCATTGGGCATATTCAGTGCACAACAAACTTTCTTAATGCATTTGTTCAATGCCATGTACACCATATATATTGTCATATTCATTGCCATAATTATTTTCATGTTCACTGTCAATTTTCAATGCCCACAAACCCTAAATTCAATCATTATACTCAACAATATCTATTATTGTTAGTCCCTGTTTTCTATTACAACAATGAATAACAGTATAACAAGAAGAAGATTAACAGTAAAGATGAACACAGATAGATCGATGTAAACCTTCTTTGATATACCCTGAACTCGTACAAAGAAGTATTGCGCTAAGGCTATTTGGAACGAGTACGAAAGTTGACGAAACCCTAAACCTGAGACGCCTTTTTATATGCGCAGGTATAGGGTTGTCGCAAAAGGCTTTCAGCCTGATATGGGCCTGACACTTGGTCCCATATACTTTAACCTAATAAATACACATATTGAATACAAGGAATAATAATAAAACTAATCTATTACAAGATAAGTGACAAAATTGATTCACAATTAAATGATCTTCAACAATCTCCCCCTTTGTGATCAAGTGCCACCTTGTTATTGCTTCTGGGATTTGAAGTAGTGCTTCCTCATATTCAGTGTGTGCTCATATTGCCTTGGCATGTTTTTCTTGTCTAGGCGATCATCGATGGCTTTTAGAATGATTTCCAGTGTTGAGTGTTCCTTTTGAATGTATGACGATGCCTCCTCAAGATTTTGCTCTAGCTGTTCCTTCATCTTCATCAGCTGTTCTTTGATGATCTTCAGCGTTCCATCACAGTATTTCTCAACTTCGCTAACCATCATCAGACGTTTTTCATTCTTGTGGTTGAGATATGTGACTACTGGCGGTGTGAAGAAGATGTGGTACGCAGGGAAGTCCTCGAGCTCTGGACCATACAGTCTTGGCTTTGTAAGATTTGTTTTTGTCAAGTTGCACTCAATAGCCATCTGTAGGTCGTGAGATGAGTGAACTCTGATTTGTCTGAGCATGAACCTCTTGATTGCTGCGAGGCCTTCGCTGTATGTTTTGCTTTGTCTGACTGGAAGGTATCGGTATGCCATAAACATTTGATAGATGTCGTCTGGTTTGAGCATGATGAAATCATTTTCCTGGCATGTAAATTCACTCCCATCGGTGCGTTGAAGCTTGTAAGAGTAGAATCTCACTCCGTGATAATCCTCAGCCTTAACCTGTAGGATTTGATGAATTGGGAGAATGTTGGATTTCAGATCTTGTTCCATCAGCTCTCGTTGAGTCCCGGTTGACCGTTGCAACATCATATGAAGATGACCTCCTGCCTGCTTTCCTTTGAGATGGGTGAGACCTCGCAACTTTAGTTCATTCAGAGGTTTGACTTTGTCTGGTCTACGCCATATACGCTCTCTGATTTCCTCTTGGAAGGTGGCTTTGATGCGTACATTGTCCCAAGGTTTCTTTGTCTTGGGAAGTTGTCCCGCCGATTGTCTGACAACAGATTCAAGTTCTTTCTGAGTTTCCTTGTAGTTCTCCCCTTCCTTTCGTTCATCGTCCTCGAGCCTGATTATATCTTCTGCACATTTGTTAATGAGTTCTCGTAAGAACCAGTTCCTTTGCATGTCTTCACATTCTTCATCCTGCATGATTTGATCCATCTCCGTCCACTGTCTGGGCCATTTGTCGTGAATGATGATATCCTCTAGTTGATCATGCATTTCATCTGATGACAGAATGGTAGTGGCTGGTTGATCTTGTGGTGACGGAGACCTGTTAACTGGGACACCGGGGTCACTGGGATTTCCCGTTGTCATCAGCTTCGAACGAGGTTCTAACTGATGGCCTGACGTAAAAGATGTACCAGTGGTAGCATCATCAGGACTTCCATCCCCTCCTCGGTTGGTATCTTTAGGAGATACGCCTCGGAATGTTTCATCTAGCTCGACCAGGCTAGAGAGTTTGGTTGCGGGTGGTGGCTGCTGGTTGGTAGAGGTTTCTGGTTGAACGGGTTGTGGAGTGTGGCTGGCTAAAGCAGTTTGCTCGAGTGTTCGTGGCCGCTTGTTCTCCCCCTCATGAGGATCCGAATCGTCGGGGTCCTCATGGGAACGTTTGCGACCACGAGTACTATCATTGCATTTGCTTTTGGTTTCAGGGGAAGAGAGGAGGGCTTCGAGGATGGCTTGCTGGTGGAGGGTGAGGTTGGCTTCTGGGATGTTGAGGAGATGGTCCAGCAAAGCCGATGCCAAGGTTTCGAAGGGTAGCGAGGAGAGATCGATGGAAGGTGTGGTCGGGCGTGGGGATAATACTGGTTCTGTATCATGGGTTCCCTGAGAAGGTGAAGGAATGGGTATTTGGTTGATGGAGTGGTGAGAGAGGGCGGTGGAAGATATTGGTTGGGTATGGGAGATGAAGGGTTCGGGTGTAGGTTGGGGTGTGGGTTGTTCAGGCTGAACCGCTTGGGTGGTCCTAAATTCCTGTGCAAGAGCGGTCATTGCTTCTTGCACCCATGGTTTGATGGTGGAATCCAGGAAGTGATTTAGCAGAACGTTGACATCTTCAAAGGTGGGGTGTCCAGTTACGGGGGTTGTAACTGTTGTCATAGCATCAGTGAAGATAGCTGATGTGTGGCCTGCGTGCAATGATGGAATCATTGAAGGCATAGCAGGACTTCCGACCGTCATAGCTTGCGCTCTGGTCGTTGCGTTCAGGGTGTGTGCACCTGTATGTGCTGTGAATAGTGTAGGTGTCCTGGAAAATGAAGAAACTGTTGGAAATGTGACACCTAGACTCGATGTGTTTGAAGGAGGGGTTTTGACCTCGGACGATTGGTCAATAGTATGCTCAACTGATTCAGAAGGAACCAGCGAGGGGGGTGAGTCCCGTGCTTTTGAACCAGATGCTGCGACTTCTACTCGGGAACCGAAAAGATCGGCTCCTGTACTTAGGGATTCGGCTCGGCTTATCTGGATAAACGGATCACAACCAGCGAATATGTGCTCGTCAGCCTTATCTATGAGGCTCTTTCTGATGCGAGACTGAGGCTTTGACTTAGCAGATTT